GAACTGCAGTTTTTCGCAACTACAGATTTCTTCGGAGCAAATATGGCTTTTTTTATAGCCGCAGCTGTCTTCACGAACGCTGTTTTTTTCATTTTAGTTTATTGACAATCTTTCATAGGGAGAATTGTTTGTTCAACAAAAAATGGGCGAAACAAAGGTTGAGAAGCGCGCACCAAAAGTTTACGACGATCCTCTAGCTGCTGCTATGAAATTTAATGAAGCGTGTCAGCAAGGAGAAAAGATTACTAGCTCGCAATACGCAGAACTTGTGAATAGCATATGCCGACTATGATAGCTTGTGGATGAAACGTTTAGCCTCGGCGTCGAAGAAGGGTTCCGTAAAACTGAGTGATGGAACAGAGGTTACTAGCAAAGAAATCATGGCGAAAATGGGCGATTTAGTCAAAGCAAAAAAGATGCTTTCCGCTCTTTATCGAAGCAATATTAAATCAAGGAAAAGAGGAAACAACGGCGAAGGGTTTAAGAAACCTTTTGTTGTAGATAGAAACATCAGAGAATTCGTTTCCAGCGGAAGGTTTGGTGACTATGACGTTGCCAAAATGTTTCCGTTGTTAGTCAAGAAAGGAGTAACGAATGTGGCTATTCTAACGCCTCTTTTTCTGCTCGTACATCAAGTTGAACAATCTCAATGTGGAAAAAGATAGGCAAAAGGTGCGTATGGACGACCTGCTTTCTAAGTTGTTTGGACGAACGGTGGCTGAGATCCTTCGGGAGAGAAAGAAACAAAACAAGGACGACAAGCTTGGTCCGAATGAATTCACCTACTGGATCATTCAGTCTATTGTGAAGCACCATAAAGTCGAAAAGGAAGTTTCTCTTAATCCCGATGAAGCAGCTCAGTTAGTGAAAGAAACAGAGATAGCACATGACCTGTTAGTCAAGTCCAAATCGTGAGCATCCTGTATAAAAGAATGGTCTCTTCTGTGTTTCTATATTGGTTTTTTTTTGAACTTGTGCTGCTGACTGCGATAACATTATATTTACAACTTTTGAAATCGCTCTTTCACTGGTCCAATGATATTGTCGTAGCAGTGACTGTTGCTACTTATCTTATTGCAGTCGGCGTCGATGTATTCGTAAGTGGGAACTTTAACCTGCGTCATAGCTTTTCGACTTTCGGGAGCGTACTACCTCTCATGTCCATAGGAAGCTGAAAAAAAAAAGAAAGTCCCTTTGGAACTCAAACCTAATAAAAAGTGAGAGTGAGCGTCCGTTTCGAGGAGTTCTAGTCAAATGGCGTTTGTCTCAAATAAGAGACTTTACAACGATCTAGTTGAACTTTCCTTCTCAGATTATCCGAAAGTTTCCGTCGATTGGTCTTCTGTGGAAGAAAACTGTTCTTTAGTGAAGATGAACCTGTGGTGCGAAAATCTATCGTGTCCTTATAATGGATTCATATTACCTGTCACAATGGAATTTGTCAACTATCCTCATAGTCATCCCTTTCTGAAGTTCGAAGTTGATGTGTTTCATCCCAACGTCTATCAAAACGGCAATGTTTGCTTGAACATTCTATCCGTAAAAGAATGGTCTCCTGGTATCACTTTACGAGTCATCTTCATCACATTGTTGCAACTCCTTGCTGCACCTAACGCTTCTGACTCTGCTAGGTCGGAAGCTGGTGAGGCCTACATGGCGGGAAATTGGGAACAACAAGTAGTTCAAGTTCTCATAAATAGCAATTGCAAACGAATTTAAAAAAATGAAGTATTTGATTTCATGTGGAGTGGAGACGATAGCAGTATGGGGATTTTATTTTGTGATACTTTGGTCTCTTCGACCTAACAGCATGTTAATCCACTATGGGATGAATTTGTACTCAAATGAAGTTTCCTATCCAAGACTTTCTGTCGTGAGTTTTACATTGGCTATATGCACGGTAGTTTTTTTCAACATTCTGCTAGTTTCAAGCTAAAATACAAGAAGAAATAAAAACGAAGAGAAAATGGAAAACAATGAAAGCAATCCCGTTGAGAAGAACGAAGAAGTGAAGGAGGAAATTGAAGAGACGATGGAGAAGGAGGAAGAAGAGGAAGAGAAGAAGAAGAAGGAGGAGGAGGAGGAGGAGGGCTTAACTGGGGGTAGTCCTCCCTCTGTAAAAGCTGAAGAATTTGGTTCCATGTTTCCTGCATTGGCCAACGACCCCGAAGTTATGAATTTTGCAACCAAGGTTCTGAAACAATGTAAATCCGACAATCTGCAGGAAAGCTTGCAAACTGTAAGCAAGATGTTAGCTGAGGATCCCAAGGTCATGCAAAGCATCGTTTCCAAGGTTCCGGAAATGATTGGCAGCCTTTCTGCTTTACTCGGGCAGCAGCAGCAACAACAGCAACAGCAATCTTTTCTTCTGCAGGAGCTGCGGGAGGGAAGAAAAGAAGAGTGAATATAAAGAAACCTCCTAAACGAATTTAAAAAAGAACAAGGAAAGAAGGAAAAATGTTTATCAACGGAGAACCGGATTACTGGGGCCCTGGTTTTTGGCTTTCCATTCATTTGATTTGTTTTTGGGCAAAAGATAAGCCTCTTCAAGAACGATTGCAATTGGCTGAGTTGTTAAAGTACATGCTGTCCAGTATTCCTTGTGCTCGTTGTCGTGAACACGCATTGAGGTTCGTTCGAGACAATGATCCTTCTTCTGTTGCAAGAAATCATGAACTGGGTTTATTTGCTTGGTCGTTTCTTTTTCACAATGCTGTGAATTCTCGTTTGGGAAAACCGCAACCAGAATTTGAAGACGTGAGACAGACTTTTGCAGACAGCTTTCCTNGTGATAAGTGTTGAGTTTTGAAATGTCGAACGAAATGGTAGGACTCGCTGCTGCGGAGGCTCTATCGCAGCCCATGATGCAGCTTACGTTGAACTCCTTTCACTTTTCTGGAAGTAGTCACGAGATGACCAGCTCCTTTTCACGATTGAAGAGGCTTTTGCAGGGCAATCGCAAGCTTCCTGTGGAATATCAGTTTCCTCAAGATGTACCGCTTCCAGAGGTCATTCCTGCTCAGAAACTGGTCGACTTGATTGTAAGCATAGAATTTCCTCTTGTAGTTTTACGCTTCCCCGATCCTGGAAGTTCCACTTATCGCCGAGCTATTGAAGAGCTCAGTTTTTTTTTGGAAGTTAGTTTAGAAGCATCGATAGAAGAGGTTCATTTGGGAAATCGAACTATAAAGGTTCTTTGCCAAAGTTCAGAGAAGCTAGTACAATCCTTGAGAAGTGTAGCTGTAGGAAGTGTTTCTATTATGAAGGTGGACCGAGAAAGAAAAAGGATAATCTGTGACCGACCATCTCTCTCTCTCTTTTCGGAACAGTTGAGACACCGAGTAAGCTCTAGTGACTTCAAAGAAGTAACTGCCTTTTTCGGTATTGAAGTAGGGCGGGCAGTTTTTTTTAATCAGCTTCGAGAAATTCTATCAGAGACGGGTGTTTTAGACTGCCATTTGAATTTGGTGGCTGATTACGTGTTCTGGACAGGCAGCCTTACCTTTCCTAACTATCATGGAATGAACAAACACTTTACGACAGGAATTCATCGAGCATCAGTGCATCACACCTTTCAGGAAATTTGCAAGGCAGCTAGCGCGGGCAAAAAAGAAAAGATATTTGACTTGGCCAGTTTTGTTATGCTAGGTGGCGTAAAAAATAGTGGGCCTTTTAGAAGGTAGGAGGTCTCGGAATGCGGGGGTAGCTTCTTTTCGTCGGAGGTTGGTCTTCATCTTCAACATAAGTTGGTCCTCGTTTTCTCGATGTATGAGGTCTTTTGGTTGGAGGCTGTCCCTCCATGATATCATCGTCTCCAGCTGCCGTTGGGCTTCGTTTTCTCGATATATGAGGTCTTTTGTTCGATGGCTGTTCCATCATTGTGTCCGCTTCTTGCGCGTCTTTGTCTTCATCAATACCTGCTTTTCTTTTCCTTCGGTTCCAACTGATGTCAGAGTTGAACTCTAATTTCCTTCGTTTGGAGGATGGTTTATAATTGTCGTTTTCGTGATAATAAGGTTCTGTTCCCGGGAGTGGTATGGTTTGTGTTATCATCATTTCGGGTCTTTGTTCTTGTGGATATTCGACTATATCGGGATGATCGGAAAAATATCTATAAGCCGACATTTTTAAAAGATGGAAAAATCTTCTATGTCGCCGAAAAACAAAACAAAGAAAGCCAGCTCATCAAATTCGAAGGGATTTACTAGTAGCAAAATCTCATCTATTGAAGGAATATCAAAAGTGAAGGATTATCAACCCAACTCAGTACCATCTTCTCAGAGTTTGCTAAAGTCACCGACATCTTCACAGGCATCTTCGAAGAAAACGGCTTCTCCAACTACACAGACGGCAGTTTCTACTACTGCTAAGAAACCAAAAGAAGGAAGTAGCAAAACTATGTGGATATGGATAGCAGTAGGTGGCGGAGTTCTTTTGCTTGTTATTGTAGGTGTAGTCGTATTCCTTTTACTTAGTAGCAAAAAGAAGAAGTCTTCAGCCAAATCGTCATCCTCATCGTCGTCATCATCATCTTCATCGTCTTCATCATCTTCATCGTCTTCCTCCTCTTCTTCAGGTGCGAATAAACTGTACAATTATACTCTGCCTTCTTCTGCAGTTCTTGGTCCTTGGCCTGATGAAAATGCGGATCCCAATTATGACAGCGCTTCATACAGTTTCGTTTGTTCTTCCGGCTACTTGGTTAGCATCGGAGTGTACGATGGAGACTGGATGTCTGGTCTGGGTTCCTTCACCTGTTCTTCAGGAGAGACACAATCCGCATTTGGTCAAAGTGGAGGAGACTCTTTCACCAACTCGTCCGGATTTTCCTATGCTCTTGTAGTAAAAGGAATCACTGAACCTAAACCTCACATTAGTTGTTTATCGTTTGGTAGGAACCACTGCAGTTCACACGATCCCAACTTGCTAAGTGAGACTTCTCAATACCTGTATTGCGGTTCAAGTAGTAGTCTGATCACGGGAGTTTCTGGAACCAAGTACGTCAACTCTAGTGGTGGAACAGGAGGAGCTGACTATTACTTTGCTAATTTGGAGATAACTTGTTCTTAAAAACATGGCTACGAACAAAGTCATCATTTTGGACATTGATGGAACGTTGGGGTGCTTGATTTCTCAACATCCGTCTCAAATAACTAAGAATATGGAAATGTCTAGGGTTCATCATATCCAATCTTCCTCTTTTTTCGTTACTAGGTCTTTTTGTGAGTGGTTTTTGGAGTTTTGTCGCTACTTTTTTGCTCGAGTGGTTGTGTTTTCTGCAGGCCATCGTGACTATGTTGAAAATGTAGTAACTTCGATATTCCCGTACTCTCCGGATGCTGTTTTTTCTTTCGAAGATTTGAACGCCAATCAGCTGAAGACTGTTGATGTTGTTCGAGATGAAATTCCTTTTGCGTTTAGCCACAATACTATAATTTTGGAAGACAATCCCAGTGCCTGGGCTCCATACAACAAAGAAAATATTATAAAGCTCCCCGAATGTCGTTTTGTAGGTGCAAGTTCCTTAGAACAAGAAGACTACACCTTTCCTAATTTAAGAAGATGGCTCATGGAAGAGATTTATCGGAGTGTTGATGTTCGTAGGGAAATAGCTGCAGTTAGTTCGTTAGAGAAAAAGGAAGACGAATGAAACTTTTTTCTAGTTTCAGTTTTCCATCAACTTATGGGGACACCCTGATGAGCCTAGCTACTGTTGACGGCAAAACTATTTTCTTTCGCGATTTCAATATTCGAGAGAACAAGTCAAAAATACTAGCTTCCCATTGGACCGAACAAGGATTGCTGGAAAAAAGCTATCATCTTCCTACAAGTGTAGAGAATATTGAGGATTGCAGATCTTTTCGCTTTCGCGGTCGAACGTTTCTTATAGGAAACAATACGAGACGAATGCATATAGTGGACATCGAGAATAAAAGTTCATGTTATCTTTTGAAATCTCCTTTTCCTCAGCGTTCTGTTGAAAAAAATTGGACTCCTCTTGTCACGGATAATCAGCAGCGACTTTTACTAGTCTATTCGTTTGATCCGCTTCTGGTTTTTCAGGTTACCGATTTGGAAAAGGGACGATGTGATCCTTATATTGGATTTGTCTCGAACTCTTCTTCTCACAAGGAGTGTAAACTTCGAGGGGGTACTCCGTTTCTTCCCTATCAAAATAACGAAAATGTTTTTGTCAGTGTAGCTCATAGACAAGAACGAGGGTATTGTGTTTCATACAGAGGCTACTGGGCCTTTCTCGATCTAAGGTCGGGCTCAGTTCAAAGCAGCGGTGCTCCAATTCAAATAGGGCAGTTTCTTATTGTCTATCCTACAAGTCTTTTCTTGGGCAGTGATGGAAAGTCGTGGCTAGGAGGACACATCGATGACGAGTTCTGCTTTTTGACTGACGACATATCAACCCCATCTGTCTAAAAAAAAGAAACAGACCAATGATAGGAGAAGAGATAGAAAAGATACTGAAGCAAATCAGTTTCTTTTTAGCGTTTTCTTTAACGTGGGCAACCGCTGACATATGGGTGTTATTTATTAAAGCTCTGTTTTTCTCTGATTTGAAGTTGAACGAAGACAGCCCTTTGGACACTTTTATTGTGGCTTCGTTGGTAACAGTTTTGCTGTTGTTTTTTGCGGCGGTTGCTTACAAAGGAGATATAACTAAACTGATTGTCCCTTAACCAAGAGACGAAAGAAGCGGTCCACTGAATTTTTCCACGTCCACGTACTTCTCGTCAGTGCCGCAATTTCTCTTCTTCTTGCTTCTAGTTCAACTGCCTCTTTTTCTTCGGCCTCCAGAGCTTTTGACAGCGTAGTTTCGTAGTCTTCCAGTTGGTCGCATGAAAAGGACTTAAAAAATACAGTCTCTTTCAAGGCAGCCGTGAGAACGCATACTGGAAGACATCCATGCTGTTGAGCTTTCACTGCTGAAATGCAGAAGCTTTCATAATACTGACAAGGATAAGTAAAAAGGGAACTTTTCAGGAATTCACAGCAAAGCTCCTCATTGCTCACTCTTCCATGAAAAAAACAATTGGGTGTGGAGTTTATTACATTCTGAATTTCATACTGCTTTGGGTCAATTGGATTAATCCCTCCGAAGATGTGAAGCTCCGCGTCTGGGTATTTTTTGACAACGCTGGGCCATATGGAAAGAAGAAATTTCAACCCTCTCTTAACGTCAGAACAATAGATACACCTTCTTTTTTTTCTTTCCAAGGGAGGGTTGAAATCTCTATACAAACTTCCGTTATAAACGACTTGGTTTATTTTAGGTAGTGCTTTTTCTCCACCATTGACCTCTATAAATTGTTTGAGCTGGGTTCCAGAGACGAAAATACCCAAATCGTAAGATGATAGTTGATGAAGCGGTGTGTCATAGCAGTCGTGAGCCCAAAAAACCCATTTAGAAGCATTAATATTGGATATTTTATTAGGAACCCGCCACGATATGGCAAAGTCAAAGTGGATATTTTCAAATTTGGGGATGCGAGAAAGCCGCTGGTAGAGAGGGTTCATCAATTCGGGAAATTCACGCATCGTGGCATTGAAAACCACCACTTGGAATCCTCGTTGAGCCAACTCATTAGCGTACTCCACAACTGCTTCTTCACTGCCTCCTATTTTTTTGGAATGCAAATCCCAAGACAAACTTGTAAGACACACGATGGCAATAGAAGGATAAGTGAACCGATGAGATTGAACGCTTTGAGTGGAGTTCCAAGGTTCCAATTGAGAAAGTAGTCGATATATAGGCTCCATATGTTTTTTACTAGTTTAAACACTATTCATAATAGTTGAGACTTACGAATGGGGAAGAAGTGGCTGGAGTGAGAGAAGAAGAAGGTGACACAGGATAAACTACTCCCGGGCTCGTGAGAACGACTCCAGAAGAGGTGTCTATGCTAGGAAGAGCTGTAGAAGAAGTACTAGTACTTTGCATATTTATAACAAAGATCAAGATAACAATAAGAACGATGACAAGGACGCCGAGGCCTACGAGGATATAAATTTCGCTCTTTTTCATTGTCTTTTTAGTAAAGCGTCGAGTCAGAAAAAGAAAGAACTTCTCCCAAAGAGTTGACAACGAGACCTTTTTCATCGAGAAAATAGTTCTCAATGGATTTGCACAAGTTGCGCTGAAGGTTTCCAACTTCGCTAGTTCGACAAGCAGTATCCACTNGACCTTCTCGACCTCCATTCGCATGGAAGAACATTTCTCGGGGGGATAGGCCTTCCAAAAAGGAATGAGAAATGAAGCCATATAGTTCAGGATTGGATAAGTCTTCTTCAAAGGAGTCCCATGGAGTGACTCGATTGGTTTCAGCATCCGGCAGGAAAACAGTACCGTTGATGAATTGCTGTCCTNAGAAATAGCTCNATTGAGAAAGATGGAAGAAAGTGCCTTTAGTTTCTGAGTCGACCATCNCTNAAAAGTCATTCTGCTTCTCAATTCGAGGAAAACGAAAAGACAGAGCTCCAATTCTTTCTTCTNAAGAATTGGCTTTCTTGAAGTTGTCACGCATTTCCTCTNGAATTTGTTGTTTGTTGGAAGAATCCATGAGCTCCAATAGATTGTGGTAGCTTGCACTTNGGATGTTGTGCTCCAAAAATTCAAGGACTGCCCTGGAAGTGTCTGAAATCNACCTAATGGTAGCGTCTTTTCCATTTTCTTGATGGTATTTGTATATGGCTTGTTTGACAGTGGACTTTGATATTTTGTCAAGACTATCAAAGGGTGGCGGTCGTTGTTCTTTAGGCATCTTGTACAACCCAGATAACGCGTCATACGATAGCGAAACGGACACTTTTCCTGTATGGTCGCTGATGATGTAGTTGGAAACGCTCNTTTTTTGCCTCNTTTCTTGCTGAACGTTCTTATTAGGAGAAAACATGACGGAAACTTCATCACCATCAAAGTCGGCATTATACAATGGAGTCNCTGACAGGTGCATTCGAATAACGAGTTCTTCGCCTNCTCTAACCTTGTGAACCATGAACCCTTGTTTGTACAGAGTAGGCTGTCGATTGAGAGTGACGCTATCGCCTTCCATCNAATGTCTTCTTGCATACCTTCCAATTTCCAAAGGACCGCCTGAAGCCTGCCCCTTTTGAAAAAGTTCTTTCCAATAGTCAAAATTAGATTCGGTTNTTTTCTGAGCTTCATGAAGAAACTTTGAACAGATAACCTTGGGAACTCGAACTTCATCCACGTCCAAAGTAGGATCAGGAGCAGCGACTGAACGACAACAATAATTGACTCTTTTTCCCATTNGGTTCTTCCTCNCCACTGCCTTTTTCCCTTGAATGCGCTGTTTGATTCCTNATGTACGCCTTCCGATTCCATTGAAACCATCAAATAATTGATAAATGGATTTGGTCNTTNAATCATAGTGTTGATGAAATTTATGACGGACGATGTCCGAATAGCATTTAGTGAGATCGTGGTCAGTGACTTCTCCGTTAAGCAGAATAGGAGGCCTTGACTGGGAGGGAATAACTNACAACTTATCGATGATAAAAGAAGCAGGGTTCGTATATTCCATTCGGAACACATCTNCCCAATAGCGTTCATCAACTGCTTCCAGAATTTTCTTAGCACTGCTCNGACTACGCTCGTACAGCTTTCCTTCATTAGAAACAAAATAAAGTCGACCATCCTTTNCTTCAAAGATCTTATTGGGTGGGCAGTCATTAGCGCATCGAGAATACTCCGACCAGCCTGCGATGGACTTGAGAGACACTTCATTTCCGCATTTTTCTNAATAGGAAATCTCCGCCGAAGAAAGAAAGGGAGTGCAGCAAGAGTGGCAAATAGATTTGAATATGTAGCTGAATTCTTTAAGAAAAAGTGGATGAAGAATAGGACAGCTTTCCAAGTCGATGTATCCATAGTGTCCTGGACAATCCTTAAAAGTTCGTAAGCAAGTAGAACAAGGAGTCTGAAAATCCACGGGACCTNAGCGAGAATCAGTAACAGTCCCGAAAACTTTAGAAAGGTCGACTTCGTGAATTTCACAAACTGCCATTTTTTGAATTTCTTCAGAAGTGAACAGTCTTNTGGTCNGGAAATTGAAAGCTTCGTCGTCATCTGTGACTGCCAAATGTTCATCGCCATCCACTTCCCATTCGTCCAAAATAGCTGCCTCTTCTTG